GGGGAAGGAAGGGGGAAGGAAGGGGGAAGGAAGGGGGAAGGAAGGGGTGGCCTTCCTCTTGCAGCCAGCTGCAGAACTCACTGATCCCTATTTCCCCTTGGCAGAGCACCAAGGAGGGACCAACAAGCCACGTCTTTTTGCTTTTGGAGATGAGCCCCTAGGATGAGTTCTATTTTTGTATCATTTCTATTTGGAACTTCATAATGGAGAGCTGAACTCCTGGGCATGGCCTTTTATTTTCATTTGAGAATGCTGCCAAAAAAAAAAAAAAAAAAAAAAGAAAAAGAAAAGAAGCACTGATTTGCAGACAGAATCTGCAGGAGAACCCGAATCCCATTCTGTTACAGATTTTGCCTTGCTATCTCTCCTGCCTCACTGGTTCCATGTTTATTAAATTGACAAAAGGCATTAATCTGGGAGTGATTGCAAGCAAGCTGGAGGACAGAATCAGAATTCAAAACTGGCTTTAAAATATGGAGAAGGGACCTGAAGTGGAAAATGAAGCTCAGCAGGGAGAAGCAGCACAATACACTCAGACAAGAATACCTGGCTGCCTAAAACTGACTGCAAGCACCTGGGGAAGCAAAGTGGGGGCTACACCCAAGGCAGAAGACAAGGAAGCCTTCAGCATCCATTGGGTGCTCCTACGTTAATCTGAGCTCTTGAAAGAATTTCAACACACAAACGTGTCCAGGGCAGCATTAAATCAGCAGTGCAGTAGCACACGACATCATGGAGCCCAGATCTTCCTGGTATGTGTTAACATATCCCTGGAGGAATAAAGGTGGGGGAGGAACAGGGTGAATGTGGTTGTACCTCTGTGCAGGCTGAGGCTGGAGCAGAGGGAGCTGCTGCTGGAGGCACCAAGGGCTGTGTTAGAGGAAAAATTCAGTGATTTGGGAGCTGGGAAAGGTTCCTTTGGCAAGAAGAAGACCTCAGACTGCATGGATTACACAGAATGAGGAGATGGACGGCACAGAAGGATCTTAGCACTAAAAGTAGGTGGTCTTCCAGCCTCTTTCTTTCTGCAGATTAAGAGCCTTCCAATATTTGAAAGGAGCATACAAACAGGAGGGGGAACGGCTGTGTGTGAGGGTGGATGGTGACAGGACAAGGGGAATGGCTTTAAAGTGAGACAGGGGAGGTTTGCGTTGGAGATGGGGAGGGCCCTTAAACACCACCTCATTCCAACACCCAAAAACCTCCAAAGGATAAACCAGGCTGTCTGAAACACAGGAAGGATGTGGAGCTCTGGGAGCGGGTCCAGAGGAGGCACTGAGATGAGCAGAGGGCTGGAGCAGCTCTGC